TTCTGGAGGGGGAAAAGATAATTAAGATAATGATCTTTTCTGTTACATACCAATATGGCTGGTATATTTTCATTAATATATTTTTAAAACTGTGTGTGTGTGTGCGTGTGCGTGTGTGTGTGTGTGTGTGTGGTGAGCCTGTTTACATGTGTGGAAGTCAGAGGAACACTATTTGGAGCTGATTCTCTTCTGCTTTGTGTAGATAGAGGGGCTTGAACTCTCTTTATCAGGCTTAGCACGCCAATGTCTTTTCCCACTAAGCCATCTCACCAGCTCCCTGGTTCGTGTCCTTATATGAAGAAGAGATTGGGACTTAGAGATGGAAGGAAGACTATGAAAGGAAGACTATCTGCACAGGAAGATGCCCTCCTCAAGGCAGAGATAGAAGCCTCAAAAGAAACCAACCTTGTAGACACCTCAGACTAACTCCTCACCTCCAGAATTGCAGGAAAATAAACATCAGTTCTTTAAGCCATTTAATCCTTGTCTGTGGCACTTTGTTACAGTAATCCTAAGGGTGGTGGCCAGGAAACTAATGACAAACAGACAGGGTTTCTCTCTGTGTGGCTCTGGCTGTCCTGGAACTCACTCTATAAACCAGGCTGGCCTGGAACTCATAGAGATCAGTCTGCCTCTGTCTCCCAGAAACGTCATTTTTGTATCAACACAAATCACCACCACAATTGTTTCCTTTGCTTCCCAGCCCTAAGTAAGACACCTGCATCTCTAAGAACTTGTCTCCTGCCATCTCAGAGTCATCTTTTCCCATTACAGGACCTGTAATTCCAGCGCAGGGAGAGTGAGGCAGGAAGATTGCTGAGTCAGTCGAGGTTACTACGTGTTAAGTTCTAGTCTAGCCTGAGCTACAGCGTTAGCACCCTGTTCCCCCGGTTTTCTCCTTCCCACCTCAGGAAAAGAAAACAGAGAAGGAAGGCGGTACTGACATGATGGCTGCGTCTGCGTGGTGGGGGTGGGGTGGGGATGTCTGTCATATTCCTTCTAATTCTGAGCTAGGTGGGACTCTTCCTGCGAGATGGGAGCATCACTCACTGTCCCGCGGGGTTGGACACATGAGGATGAATATGAAGGAGACGCTGAGAGCGAAGCTAATGAAGAGCCTGTGGACCAGCTGTGTTGTCTCAGTGGTGGGTGGGCTGCCTACCGGGCATCGCTCCAGCTATTCTGCGGTTGCTATGGCAGATCCCACAGTGGTGGCCTTGGGAGCATGCTCAGTCTGGCTGGTGTGGGGTGGGGATGAGCCAGGAAACTTGTCTTCCGGGTAAAAGAATCAGTATAATTGAGTGACTGATTCTAGAAGGCTTGTGGGGGAGACATTCCGCCATCCTTCTTCTGATGGCTCTCAGCTACACTGAAACTTCCTCAGTTCAAGCTGAGTACAACCTAGGAGGGTGTCAAAAGGTGTCCCCCTGCGTGCCTGGGTTACACGTGACTGAAGTCAACTTTTTTTTTTTTTTTTTTTGCCTCTTAGATCTATGCGATTCTTACGCTAACATTGTCTCAACATCTCAGCACCTCCAGCTCACGATATTCACAGCTCTGGTCCAGAGGTGGCAATCTCAGGCTGTCAGGACTGCAGTGGGGCCCTGAGGCGTCACACTAAGTCATCACAGCTGCGGGATCCTCTGCATCCCTGTTGCTGGCTCGGCGAGGCCAGCTCCCCCACCTCTCTAGTTTTGTCTTTTTTTTTTTTTGAGAAAGGGTCTCACAATGCATCCCACGCTGATCTTGAACTCAAATTATTCCTGCCTCATTTTTTCTCCCAGTAGCTGAGGTTATTCTACCATGCCCAGAACATTCTTCTTCCCCGTCTCCTCCTTTATCTTCTCCCTTCTCCTCCTCCTTCTCTTTGTGTGTGAGTGTGTGTGTGTGTGTGTCCCATAGCTCAACATTAGTGTGGAGGTCTGAGAAAAACTTGCTAGAGTCAGTTCTCTCCATCTACCAACCGGTATGTGGGGCTTGAACTCAGGCAGGCTCTCAGGCTGCAAACACCTTTCCCCTTTCCGCCTTTACCCACTGGGCCATCTCAGTGAACTTTCTAAAATTATTATTATTATTATTTTAGTTTTCACTATGCTGCTCTGGCTAGAGCTTAACATATATGCCAGGCTGACCTTGAAGTCCCTGTGATCTTCCAGACTCTGCCTCCCAAGGCTAGGTTATAAATATGTCCTACCATGCTGACCAAATACATCACCTGGAGGACCCGGAGGACCTCAATCTTGAAAGCTTCCTGTCTCATTCTTTTCAGCATTTGCCCAGTCATGTGTTCCACTACAGCTGGCTCCCTGCATTTCAAAAGACTTTTTTTAATCTATAGTTATAGATGTGTATACGTATGTGTGTATGTGTGTGTATGTCTCTCTCTCCTCTGTGTGTGTGTGTGCACGCACATGTATGTACACCAGCGAGTGTGCCTGTGGAGGACATAAGAGAGCCTCATATCCTCTGGAGCTGGAGGGACGGGCAATTGTGAGCCACCCAGTGTGGGTTCTGAGGACTAAATTCCAGTCCTCTGCCAGAGCAGGCAGCAAGTCCTCTGAATCACTGAGTGACATCTCTAAAGCAGCACCACCCAAATGCCTTTAGACAAACAAACAAACAAACAAACAAACAGCAGAAGCTGCTGAATTTGAAATCAGCCCTGTGGGGTGAAATAGCCTCATCTTTATTTTTAGTAGCCTCCCCCTCTTTAGAAAACTTCCCTTTCCTGTCTTACCTAGGAAAGCAATCTCTTTAAAAATAAAGTTCCCCCTTTGGACCGAGAGAGAGAGCTACCTCATCTTGCATGTCTCCCTTGCTTTCTCTTACAGAACAGCAGAGAATCACGATCATCCCAAAGAGAGACCTGGGAAGAATATTTACAGCGGGGCACTGGGAAAGCAGCTGCAGTGCCTGGCGGGGTAGACAATTTATTCCCCATGCTCTTTTTACTGGGGTGTGTGTGTGTGTGTGTGTGTGTGTGTGTGTGTGTGTGTGTGTGGTGAGGGCGGGAGGGAGAAATCACAGCAAATTAGGCCTCAGCAAAAGTATCTGTAGCTATCATCTGAGGGCTATTTTTATAGGAAGCAGAAAGAAAACATCAATGGTGTTTTCTATGCCTCGGGATTTATTAGGTCAAGCACCATGCTAATCAAAGTTCTTTCATCTTAATTTTTTACAATCCTGTAAGGCTGTCACCCTGAATGAGGAAACTGGGAGTCAAGGTTTCACAGCTATGGGGCAGAGCACCTGGGAGAAAGAACTCATGTGTCTCAACAAGAGGCCCCAGTGTGCCTTTGAGGCCCAACAAAAACCCAATGCAGAAAAACGCACCTGTGAATCTGTTCTTAAATCATCACATCTATTTAAATTTTATTTTATGTGTGGGTATTCTGTTGGCGTGCCTGTCTGCCTCACATGCACGCCTGGCACCTGCCGAGACTAGAAGTGGGCCCCGGACCCCCTGGAAGTCGAGTTACGCTGCCACGTGGGTGCTGTACTGAGAACTGACCCTCTGGAAAGGCAGACCATGCTCCCAACAGCAGAGCAGCCGGGCAGCCTGTGCATCTTAATGAGCACTCCGGGATCTGCTCCTTAAGATCAAAGCAGCCAACACATTTAGGGGCTTCTCCTCTTTAAGATACATTTAGACTCTTTGCTAAATAATTTAGTTCAGGATAACAGGCTTGCCATTTTCCTTGATCTACTATAGAGAAATCCATTTTTCATCCAATATTCAGCCTGAACAACACACACACACACACACACACACACACACACACACACACACACGTAACTCATATACGAATAGGCACATGCACAGTCATTCCTTTTTTTGTTTGTTTTGTTTTTCGAGACAGGGTTTCTCTGTATAACAAGCCCTGGCTGTCCTGGACTTGCTTTGTAGACCAGGCTGGCCTTGAACTCACAGAGAGCCACCTGCCTCTGCCTCCCTGAGTGCTAGGATGCCACCGTGCCCAGCATACAGCCGTTGCTTTTTAAAGACCCAAATAGACTAGACTCGGGCTCTCTTAAGAGTTCTTAAGAGTGGGCAATTTTCTGAACCCCACGGAGGAGTGATTTTCCTCTCTGATGCTAACATATTTGGCAGTAGTGAACTGGGTCTCTAGAGAGGGCCATTCGTTCTTGGGTATGGCACCATCTGTGTACAGAAATATTTAGTAATCCGAGAATCCATGCTAGCAACGTAGACCTAAAGAAGACTTTTGTGAGAACCTCCTCCAAACAATTCTGCACTTGGATTTTTTTTTTTTTTTTTTTCTTTTTTAATGGTCTTGACTACCCTGATGAACTGAACAAAGGGTCAGAAGGTGTTTCCCCGGTTTAAGAGGAGAATACGGAAGGCGGGAGGGAGTCCTGACACTGGTCACTGTGGTGGAGGCCGGATGGCAATGAGAGAGAATCCCACTGGAGTTCTGTTGGGGAAGGGTAGGGCGAACCGATCTAGACCCTGACGAAGGCCTTCCAACCAGGGCTGAGTCCAGGTGAAAACCTGCCCCTGAGAAGCTGGGCCAGGCCGCTGCAAGGGCAACCCAGGTAGTGCGGAGTTGGATCCAGGCTTGGGGCAGGATTCGAAGAGAAGCGACGCGACCAAGGAGTCAGGATTGACGAGGTGGGCTGGGTGGGCGCTCACCCCAACTCCGCCACTCAGAGATCTTTGGCGGAAAGACGCCAACCTAGGGTCAGGATCCCTGTACCCCAAGGCTCGGAAGCCGAGCTGGACCCCGCCCCGGCCGGCCGCGGGGTCCCCGCCACCTCCCTCCCCCTCCCCCGCTGCGGCGGCAGCGCGGGGGACGGGCGGAGGGGCGGGCAGGGGCGGCAGCCGCGGCTGTCCCCTCCCACCTCTCGCCAGCGCGAGCCTTCCCCGCGCCGCGCTCCCGCCGCAGCCGCGCTTCCCCGCGCCAGCGAGCGAGCGGGCGGGCGGGCGAGGCCAGGCGGGGGCCCGGGCCGCTTCCTCCTCGCCGCCGCGATGGCAGAGGCTGAGCGGGGCTGAGCCCGCAGCCGCTCGCAGCCCCCCACCCCACCCACCCCGGGCCCCCTTGAGTCCCTGCCATGGCGAAACAGTATGATGTACTGTTCCGGCTGCTGCTGATCGGGGACTCCGGGGTGGGCAAGACCTGCCTGCTGTGCCGCTTCACCGACAACGAGTTTCACTCCTCGCACATCTCCACCATCGGTAAGGGGCGGTGTCCCGGGGCGCCCTTCCCTCCCCTCCCGGTAGCTAGCTGCTTCTCCAGCCCCAGCCCAGGAGGGGTTGTGCGCCCCTCAAGGTAAAGGCGGTGGCGCGGGAGGCCAGGGTGAGGGAGTACACCTAGGTGTTAGAGGTGCCCCGACTTGGGGCCCTGAACCCCGGTTCCTGCAGGTGATGGGTGCGTGCTGCCTGCAGTCAGGGGCTAGGGGTGGGAGTTCTGTCTTCTGGCTGGGGAGCCTTCCCATCCAAGATGAGAAAACCAAGGCGGGTGTAGGCCAGAGTCCCCTGAGCTGGGGCAGCAAGATCCACAGCCAGCAAAGTGATACAACCAGCGGCTCCAGATGGAGATGGGAGGAGAACGGAATCGAGTGGGGACCAGTCAAATAAGTCACTGAGGCACCCTTAGTTTGAGGGTGAGCCCATGAGGAGCCAGGATGGGAGCGGGCATAGGGGAGACATTGGTCTAAGGAACCGAGTTGTGGTCTAAGGGCAGTTGTGAAGGTAAAGCCACAAGGCGGGACACCTGGAAGAGGACAGAGAAACACCATAGTGCAGAAAGGTTGGGTTTGGGGTGGGGTAAGGCAGCAACTATTGGAAAGAGGGTGGAGGAAGATTGGAGATGTTCAGTCAGCAAGTAGACAGGACCTACCTTAGGCCGGGACAAAGGCCTGGTGGCCATGAGGGTCACTGTTTTGAGAGTGAGTCAGTGGTCTCTTCTTCACGGGCAAGGGAAGGTCCTCTCTTCCAGGAACTCTGACGTGAGGGGATTCCACCCATATCTGATTCCAGGTTACCAGACTTGGTCGGCTCTGGAGTAGCCTTCTCATGACTCCTCACAGAAACAACCTGCTGGCTGCTGGTCGTCCAGTAGGGCTCATCTCCTAGAAGGCCCTGCTGCCTTCAGAGAGGGTGCCAGACCTCCTTCAGAGTGTCCTCTTAAGGATTCCTTCTTCCCCCTTTACACTCCTCCCCCAACACACACTCCTTGCCAAGAGAAAAGAAGGTGAGGGTAGTTGCTGTCTGCAGAAGCAGAGCCTTGTAGTTGAGGTAGGCATTGTCAGGGAAACCTGCCTTTGGGGACAGCGTGGCCTTGACTATGACTTCAACTTTAATGCCTTTCTGTCTGTTGAATGGGTCTAATAATGAGTCCTTCCCGAGGTGTTATACAGATTAAACGAATGAATGTTTGTAACATTAGCGTGTGTGTGTGACATTGGCTGAGTGCTGGTTGTCTCTCTCACTGAGCTCTTAAGGTCTCCTTGTGTGCTTTGCTCTCATCAAGTCACTTAGACCCAGAGAACAAAAGTTGCCTATATTTCTTCTGGGGCGCTAAGGCCGCCTTCTAAGACAGCTGGGAGCTTGGGTTGGGCCACTGTTTGAATAAGAACCATTTTGGAGAGATCGGAAGGGGCTAGACACTGGACCTTGCCTGAGAGAGGGCTGCCTTCCTCCTTGGAGCCCTTAGGTGTTGGGCAAAGTCATGGGAGTGATCCAGGGAGTGGCGGATGAGCCAGATGGGATATGAGAGAGCTTGCAGGCTTGGGGACAAAGGGCAACAGGTTATTACTATGGAAACTTGTCCTGACCTTGACAAGGGTCTGGGGCCAGGAGCTATTGAGCTATCTGCATTGAGCAAAGAGGTATGGGGATGGGGGAGGGGGAGATGGGATGTGCCCAGATTTTGCCTGAAGAGCAGTAATTTGCACCCTGGAGTCATGGTTACAAGTCCTGGGAGTGACCTGGACTTTCTTCTCTTTGAGGGCCTTACTGGCTTCCGTCACTTCAGAGGACCCCAGGATTCGCGCATAGTACGTGAGGAGTTAGCCTCTCCCCGTGAGGAGTTAGCCTCTCCCCGGAGACATACTCCTCCACCCCTCCTCAGCAGAGGAAGGAAGGAAATACCAAATGGCCTGCAGAGGCTGTGCTCTCTCTCTGAAAGAGAGCCATCCCTCACCCCCCACCTCCAACCACTAACCCTTGTCTTTCTGACTCGTTAACTTCCCTCGGCCATCTTCTTCTGGCTGGGAGAATGCTAGACAGAGCACAGGGATTTCCCCTGAAACCCTCTGGTGCTCACTCATCAGGGCAGTGATGACTCAGGGAGTCGTGCGGTAGGCTTCTATACACCCCCATCGCAACCTTTGGCTATCGGCTTAAAACCTATTCCTGAAGTTTATTCTCTGCCACCAGAAGATGGCCGGGCACGCTTCAGGAACCTGGATGGAAGATGAAGAAACTGGTTGTTCTTCACTCCAGCCCTTCAAATCTGCCCCACTAGGTTTCTTAAGTGCTTTCTTATTTAAAGCTCAGGGAGGCCCTGCGCTCCGCCCCAGCTTGGCCACCTTTTCCAGCATTAATTACAATTGAAGGGAAAGAGTTGGATGGTCCAGAGAGGCTTTCTCCTTGGATGATTTGGAAAGTTTCCCAAGGAAGGGGCAGCCAGGAGACACATCAAAGAGCCAGGGAAACAGGGGGCTGCCAGGTCAGATACATAATTTATCCATTAAGAAAAATGTGTGCTTGGAGAGTCCATATCAGGCATTGATCTAGGCATCTTATTTGTCTTGTTTGACTTTTGGATGGAGAAAACAAGACAAATCACTAATTATCGCCAAAGTGAGTTCAGATTCTTGCCTCGTACTGATATCACCTTGGTTGGCTCTTCTATAATTTACTGTATGTTCTGCATAAGAGCCCAGACATTCCATGAAAGAGCCAGCCAGGGAGACTGAGGCATCCAGGTCCTCGCCATCTTTCAACCCTGTACTACTGGTACTCGTACTCCCTTTTGCATGCTGCTGTGCTCCCAGGAGAGAGCTGGTGGGAGGCAGAGTAGCCAGAGCCTTAATGTTCCAGCAGATAAGACTGCTGCATCTGTTACTGTAATGGAGGAGTCCCACGAAGGACCATCCTAGGCATGTTCTGGGAACATGATAGTCAACCCTTTTCTGCCTGCAGACGTCTCTGATCTAGTTGGGGAAGCAAGGCACGGGCAATAAAGAGCTACCACCAAAACAAGACAACATATCGGAATGCACTTGGTAAAGTACTCTTCAGGCAATTGGACCACTGCTGCCAGTGAAGGCCCTTCACCCCGTAAGATCGCCTGAGGCAGCCAATGAGGGGTGCTGGACTCAATGAGAGCTGCTGCTGCTGGAGTTTAGAAAGGGAGAGAGGGCCCCACGGATTCCAACAGGCAGGGAAGGCTGACGCTGGGTGCTGCCGTGTGGGTTGCGGTGGGTGGGTTCCCGCAGTGGAAGGAGGGGAGCAGATGGAACAGCATGATCACAGATAACATAGGTGCGAAGTGAGTGGGTGTCCACAGGCCTCTGGGCAGTCTGGCTTCAGCAGAAGGAAGTTTTTAGGAGAGACCATTCCTCTGCTCGGCTCCGTCTCCTAAACTATAGTTTGAGGGTGAGGCCGAATCATAGGCCTCTTAGTTTTTGTGGGTGGCAGTACAAGGCCAGACCATCCGTGAGATAGTAAATGTAGGGCCAAATTAGCAGAGGCCGTCAGGGGCCTGGCTATGGCTTGAGCCAAGCAATAGGAAAAAGGTGGGGTTTTTTTTGTTTTGTTTTTGTTTTTTTTTTTTTTTGAAGGCCCATCCAGATTTTCCACTCCCTTGGGACCAAACAGTTGCCTGTACTGTCCCCTTTGTGACAGTCCCCTTTGGTTTCTTCTCTTGAAATGGGATGTGCCTCAAACCGTCATCAGCCTGGCACTTCTGCGATTAGGCCGGGAGACATCATCTGTGGAAATTTGTGTTAGGGTGTCTTCTATGAAGAAGAAAGGCTAGGATTGTCTGGTGGCCAGGACTAGGACGTAATGCTAGCTGGAGGGGATTTCCCAGGGATTGGTTTCAGCCCTCTCAGCCCTGGTCCTCCCTGAGCACACTCACCTGGTCTCTGGGCCTTTTTGAAAAGCCACCCTCTGGCTGCTCTCTTTCAGAGTGAGGAGAGGCTGGGGCCTCTGTCTTGTTGGACTGGTCTGGCTGCTGTGGCTTGAGGTTGTTTTCTCCTGCTACTCTAACCAGAACTGGATCTGACAGCCTAAGGCAGATGTCTGTAGTGACTTGGGGGCGGGGAGAGGGGAGAAAGAACCCAGAAAGCTAGGTCTGAGCCCGGACCTAAGTGATCTGACGGACTGAGCAAATGTTTGGATACTGTGACCCCAGGCTCTGCAGGGTTCAAGACGGAAGAGATGTGTACAAATACAATACGACACAGGGAGGATCAAGGCTCAGTTTTTGCGATCCATGTCTTCGTTAGATCTTACCAGATTGAGGGCAGCTGGGGACCCATTTCCCCTTATTCTGTTCCCCCAGGCCTTGTAGAAAGGAACCGGAGATTCGAAAGCCCCGGGTAGAATGAATGGAAAGTGCCCGCTGGTGACCTGCACCTTCTTAGTTGCCTCACCAGCCCAAATCCTTCAAACACTCACTTGATCTCTGTGTTTAGTTCTGCAGTTCTAAATAAAAGACAGCACCAGAGCCTTTCTTAATGGTTGCTAGGAAGATGACAGAGGTTAATAGATCCAATGCCCTTGGGAGAGTCCTCCATAAAATCGTAGCTGCTGTCTGTCTTATTATTCCTGGCTCGTGAGAATGCTACGGAGGTGAGTGAATGGTCAGTAATGTGCTGTGATGTCACCCTGCTCATCACTCGAAGACTCAGCATTTGGATACTGTTTCGTGTGGGGGATGTACATTCGGGTGCCCAGGCAGGCCAGAGGTCAACCTCAGCTGTCATTCCTCAGAACTGGCCACCTTGGTGGACTCTGGGGCTTGCTGGGCAGGGAACACGGGGATTACAGGCGTGCACTGCCACCCCTGGCCTTTGGCCTGCATGCTGGAGGTTGAACTCAGGTCTGAATGTGTGTGTGTGGCATGCGCTTTACTGACTGAGCTACCACCCCAGTCCCATCTGGGCACTATTTATTGAACAGCCAAACACTATGTGTCGGGCATTATGCTAGGGCTGGGGATA